ACACAACACACCTTGAGGAAGTTTCATGTAAATATCTTCCTTTAACACACCGTTTAAAAAGGCTGTTTTAACATCCATTTGATGGACTTGCAAATTATATTGCACTGCTAATGATATCAGGAATCTGAAACTTGAAACTCTGGCAACAGGGGCAAATGTTTCCTCATAATCAACCTGATATTTTTGAGTAAAACCTCGAGCTACTAATCTAGCTTTGTATCTAATTGGGTTTCCCATTTCGTCATGTTTGACAGAAAATACCCATTTACTATCAACAATATTTTTATCTTTATCTTTAGGCTTCTTTTTTATTGTCCAAGTATTGTTTAACTCATGAGCACTCAGTTCAGCTTTTATAGCTTCTTCCCAACAACTTTTATCGCTTCGACTTTTAATTTCATCGAAACTATTTGGGACATCGTTAAAAATTGCATGAGCATTTAAAACAAATTTATTTAAGTCACTTTCATCTTCATTGTATGATATATGTGGCTTTTTCTGTAACCTTTCACTTCTTCTATTTGTTACATCATTCCTATTGTTGTCTATGCCATCAAGACCTCTCTTACTTTCATTCAGAGGATCAACTTGCTTTCTTTTCCTACTCTCATTCGGAAATTTCACTTCTTCACATTCCTTACTATCATTCAGGAAGCTTTTATTTTCCTTACTATCATTCGGGAAACTTTCATATTTGATGCCTCTAGAATTAACCATATTGGTCTCATCGACAAAAACATCTCTAGCTGTTATGAATTTGCTATTAATAGCATCCCATAACCTATAACCATTTGCTTCGTATCCCACAAGAATACTTTTCTTTGATTTTTCATCAAATTTACCGTTTTTGTGCTTATTATGTACATACACGGTTGAACCAAATACTTTTAAGTATTTTAAATTTGGCTTTTTATTATGCCACATCTCATATGGGGTCCCCTTTTTATTTACTAGTGCTCTACTTGGAATTCTATTAATTAGGTATGTTGCAGTCAACACTGCTTCACCCCAGAAGCTTTTATCTAATTGTGCACCGTTAACCATGGCATGGGCTTTCTCTGTAATGGTTCGTATCATTCGTTCAGATTCACCATTTAATTGAGGTGTGTGTGGTACTGTCAGGTGATAAGTAATTTCTTTCTTAACACAGAAATTACGCATTTCATTCGACAAATATTCTCTTCCGTTATCAATATATAAATTAACTACTTTGAGATTAAAGTGTGCTTCACTTTTCGCTACAAAATCTTTAAACATATTGAATACATCTGACTTATGTTGAATCAAGTATGTGACACAGTAATGTGTGAATTCATCCACAAAAATAACAAAATAGTTCTTCTCATCTAAAGAGACCGGTGTAATAGGTCCACACACGTCAGAGTGTATTATAAACAGGGGTCTCGTAATATGTTTTTATACCCTTGCAGAGGGTATTATAATTTTGTCCAAAAGTGTGCAACGCAGTGAAGGAGACATCTCCGACCCTATAAAGTATATATATTCTTGATCAGGATCACCGTCTGTCCGTCTGTCTGTTTCTACGCGAACTAGTCTCTCAGTTTTAAAGCTATCGTCTTGAAACTTTGCACACACCCTTCTTTCCTTTGCACGCAGTATATAAGTCGGAACGGCCCAGATCGGCCGACTATATCCTATAGCTGCCATATAACTGATTGATCGGAAATGGTATAACTTTGGTGTTTTTAGAGTTAGAGAGTTCAAATTTGACCTGAGAGCTATTTTTGGAAAAACATTACGACATGCCAAATTTCATAAGGATCGGCCGACTATATCCTATAGCTGCCATATAACTGAACGATCGGAAATGACCCAACTTTTGTGTTTTTGAAGATAGAAAGCTGGAACTTGGTACAGATTATATTTTGATCCATCCTACCAAATTTCATAAGGATCGGCCAACTATATCCGATGTTTGCGATATATATCCGGTTTTAGCTGCATATAAACTTCGGCTCCGCCCGAAGTTAGCTTTCCTTTCTTATTATACCCTTGCAGAGGGTATTATAATTTTGTCCAAAAGTGTGCAACGCAGTGAAGGAGACATCTTCGACCTTATAAAGTATATATATTCTTGATCAGGATCACCTCCTGAGTTGATATGAGCATGTCCGTCTGTCCGTCTGTCCGTCTGTCTGTCCGTTTCTACGCGAACTAGTCTCTCAGTTTTGAAGCTATCGTCTTGAAACTTTGCACACACCCTTCTTTCCTTTGCACGCAGTATATAAGTCGGAACGGCCCGGGTCGGCCAACTATATCCTATAGCTGCCATACAACTGATTGATCGGAAATGGTATAACTTTGGTGTTTTTAGAGTTAGAGAGTTCAAATTTGACGCGAAAGCTATTTTTGGTAAAACATTGCGACATGCCGATGTTTGCGATATATATCCGGTTTAAACTTCAAGGGTATATAAACTTCGGCTCCGCCCGAAGTTAGCTTTCTTTTCTTGTTTTAATAGACTTTGCCAGTGATCATTACTTTTGATCCGTTCCTTTATTACTTCCAGCTTCCGATTTTGTCCCATTTCTGTCTTTCCCATGTGATCCGCAAGCTTGGTCCTGAGACGGGTAAGATGGGCTTCGGCGGGATTTTGTTTGGGCTTCCAAGATCCCCGCTTGGCCAACCTTTCAGACTGAGGCTTGTCCTTAGGACGGAAGGTTTTACGGAAGGGGTTTTTGACTTGCGGTGGAGGGGAGATAGTTTCAACATCCTGATCCAGGATGCCCCAGTAATTTTCATTATTTTTAGAAACATTCCTATTCCCAGACCCAACAGGCTGCCTAAAAGAGGCTCTATCACGCCGGTTTTGCTGGCGATAGCTATGATTCCCGGCTGACGCCTGTCGGGATAGCCTAAACCTAAAGTCCTTGTAAGCCCTACAGCCTCTATAGGAGCTTACATGCCGGCCACCGCAATTGCAGCAGCGAGGAGGCATATGCCGCGGTTTGTTGCAGGCTGTTGAAGGATGCCGTGTGGCCAAATCTCTGGCATCTGTGGTATTGGGGGCTCGGAGGATGAGGGACAAAAGCCGCTTTGGGAGGGACCATGGCAGCAGCTGTTTGCTTCATTCTTCTCCAGATGAAGTTTCTTGGCAAAGTCACTTTTGAAGGAAGAAGTTTGAATATTTTTTGCCGACCCCAGAGGAGGAAATTCAGCATCATAATTTACTACCACTTTTATCGAGGCCCTGGAGCGCATAATTTTATCCAAGGAGCCTGGCGAAGTGTGAACTATTGCACTGGCACTTAAGGTAACAGGGCCAGGATCAGGCAGACTCGTGACCTCACTGGGGGCTTTCCCAGAGGGAAGGCAGTTTGGTGGCATAAGAGTGACAGGGTCAGTAGGATTAGCAGGGTTAGCAGACCTATACCTGTTTAATTCAGAGAAAAAATTTTGGAGCATCTGGACCGAATGAATGACTACTTTTGACTCTTTAACTTCTTTTGACCGATTATAAACCCCCATGACTCCCGTGTTATCTACGGCTTTGGGCATAACACGGGTTTCAACATCTACATGGGATGTTTTTGGAATTGGTTTGGGACAATAGGTGGCGCCATGGCTGGTTCTGTTAATAAGTTTCGGGGTGCTGTTAACGTTAGCAGAGTTGAGCTCAAGGGGCTCCTCCAGGAGGACCCTTTTTTCGGAGCTAAAAATATTAGAGGGAGACGAGGAGAGGAGGCGTTTTTTATTTCCAAAGTTTTTGAACTTTTTGGAGCACCCACTGGAGCTCATTCTGGTTAAAACAATGGTTGATGTTTTGGTATTAGTATTAGTGGGGCCCGCTCTTTTTAGAACGGAATTAGGTTCAAGTCCGCGCTGATCAAGAGTATTGGTATTGGTATAGATATTGGTATTGATATTGATGGGGCTCGCTCTTTTTAGTACTGGAAGGTGAGCCGGGAAGGGGAAAGGGCAGTTTCGACCCGCTTTCCGATAAAAATGTTTGGCGAATGGCTGATAAAAATATCTTTGTATACTAACTCACCGCAAAGAGGTGAAGAGTCCTCTGGCAGAATAAATGATATTGCGAAAAAGTTTAAACTTTCCTGTTCTGCACCCACAAAGCTGGATTCTATTTTCTTTTTCTCCTTTCTCCTCCGTTGATTCTCCTTTTCCACTTTCCTCTCTCCGGCATATTTTTGGCGAGATGTGCGGCCAAAATTAATAAATAAATAAAGGACATCAAAACAGGCAGGAACAAAAACAGAAACGGTGAGTAAATAAATAAATAAATAGTGCAAAAACATGGATAACAGCAACAAGCCAGAGTCACCAAGGGACCGTTTGCCAACTTTCAGGTGAGTAATCGTACCCTAAAGCCAACTATCGGGCCATTCTAAAATTGTCAGAAATTTTGCAGGTTACAAAATTTGGCATTTTATACTAATCCTTATCCTAATTAGAAATAATCTACTAATATAATAATATAATAATAATCCTAATACATGTAGAAATAGCAGGGGGTGTATTTGAACAGCAGATGGCGCCCTGGTCCGAATTTACTCTGTAATTGTTACATGCAGGCGCTGTTAATGTTTCTGTTAATGTTTTTGGAGTGGGAATGCGGGGGCTGTTAATTAATTTAACATTTTCAGGTACATTATTTAACATTACACATTTAACCATTATTAGAGGTGGGCAAGATTAACAATTCTGTTGTTAACAGAACATTTTAACATAGCACTGTTAAAAATGTGAGTAAAATTTCACTTCACTCATCGTTGGCGGATAAAAAAAAAACAGCTGACATTGAAATGATTTGTGATTGATTTTGATTTATTTGATAAATTCTTACCTCGTCGATAACTACATGGGTACTTACTAGATTAACCCTATAGTAATCGAACGTCGAACCACTCAGTTAATAAATATATGCGCATTAGCGCATAAGTACAAAATAACGGCAAGCATCGCTTTTGTTTTTGTTATTTTGTGGAAAGAGCATACACAAGATTAAAGACAAAACTTCGATTATGCTTTACATCACTGTTTGTTTACGCGTCGTCGGTGCACTGCTTACAAAAACAATTGTCCAGAAAGAACGGTTTCTTTTATTTTGTGCTACTCTTTCGCTCAAACGCAGCTGTGTTTGCTGGCTGACGAAATTTTTGCAAGCATTTGAGCTAAGAAGTGCAAAGCGGATCAATCGATTATTAGGTGAGTGACTTAAAAAATAATATATGTTTGTAATATAAAATATGTTTATGTATATTTTATGTATAAATATATTTTAGCCAATGAAGTGGTCTGGGAGTATAATGTGGATGGCGTTCAGGGGAAAGGTGCCCTAAGAAAAGAAGAAAATTTTTTTGGCGTTATAATCGGTGAGTATTTTAAAAGATAATTGTTTAATAATCATTATACACTTTAATCTATTAAAACTTGTTTAATCCTTTTTATTTCTAGATTCAATAACTGCAGTCGGCGGTATTGGCCCAGCTGAGGAACAATTGAGAAAGGCCCTGCAGCTCCAAAAAAAGAGATTTTAAAAACTCAAGCAGCCTAAAAGTAATAAAAGAACAAACCCCGTTATAAAAAAAAAAATTAAACTAAATAAAAACTGTAATTGCAATTGTATATGTTTTTTAATTTATAATGGCAGGCCCCTCCATGGGGTCCAATGTAAGTACTTACTTCACCGACCACTTCATGGGGTCCGATGTAAGCACTTATTTTACCGGCCGTTCCATGGGGTCCCATGTAAGCACTTATTTTACCGGCCGTTCCATGGGGTCTAATGTAAGTAGTTTCTTTAAAGACCCTAATATGATGCACTATTTCACTAGTTCGTGGGTAATCGAGGCGGTGGCGATTGACCCTATTTGCGGACATTTCATACAAAAATGGAAATTAAAAAACGCATGGCTAGACGCCACTTTGTAAGTAGTGGTGGTCTGCTGGTAAGTGCTTATTTCACCAGCAACGAACTAGTGCTCAGAACTGCAGGGGTATTACCCTTTTTCTTAATTTTTTTGGTCTTTAAGATTTTTGTCAACTCAGTACTTTCGAGATCGGATAAAAATTGACCAAAAATGATCAACTTCCTTGTTTAAGGGGACCCCCCCCATTCTCGGTTTTAAAAAATCGATTTTTTTTTTTAATTTAATTCGAACTTGTAACTATTCAAGAATGTTCCCTGAAAATTTCAAGTAAAAATTTCAAAAACTCTTGAAGATATAGCCGATTTATGGTGGAAGTCTCAGGCGACGGCGAGAGCCGTCTCAAAACTTAAAACGCGTTTTTCTCGAAACAGTGTTTTTACGACTGGCGCATGAGGTTACTCAAAAACTATTAATCCAATCGGTTCCAAATTTTAACACGTTATTCTATACATATATAGCTCTCGTATGAACTAGGATAAATCGAATCGGTGAAGATCTTCCTTACTTTTCAACTCGATTTGTGGCTGAAAAAAATGGAAATTTCCAAAAAAAAATTTCAAAGGTCCACCATTTTGTTAATTTTTGAGCGAAGTTAATAATCCTAGTTCATACGAGAGCCAAACATGTACTTTTTCTAATCCCGTTGGAATTTTTGGATTCAGATGTTCCAGTGAGCGGAAATCACATGCGCCGCCGAAAAGAAGGGCTTTTCTTTAATCACAAAAAACAACAACAACAAAACAAAAAAAAATTCTGTGAAATGATTTTCTTTCTTTTTGTGTCTTAATATATGTAAGCACAGTTACAACCCTAAAAAAAAATTTATGTTCATTTGCCAGCCCATTGAAAATCGTCAAAATTTAAAATCGAGAATGGGGGGGGTCCCCTTAAATTATAAGCAAATTATTTACCCGGCTAAATTTGCATTCCAATCGAGCCGGGAATTTTAAATTTCATCACATCATTTTCATTTCAAACATTGTGTAATGCAAATGAAAAATGAAAAATGGAAATTTTATCCAGATCGCCCAAAACAAGGCCCTAAGAACTTTAACTGGAGCTCATCCGTTCCACGACAATGCGACAATCCACGCCCAACTGAGAGTCCCATATGTGAGCGAAGAAGTTCAGCGATTCGCCAATAGGTACGTGGAAAGGCTGGACCGACATCCTAACCCTGAGGCCATCAATCTTTTGGACAACAGCTACACCACAAGGAGGCTGAAACGGACCCTCCCATTGGACCTCTGCCACTCGGGCGAAATAACTTGAATTCTATCGCTAAGGTTTACTGTTAAAATTAGTTTCCTAGGATAAGCAAACATTGTACTACTCAATATTTCATTAAGTTAAGGTCCCATTATAAAATTTAATTATTGTCCATATCTCCGGACAGATTTTAAATATAACTATTGATTGATTGATAATAAAAAAAAAAATTTCATCGAAACTATTTGGGACATCGTAAAAATTGCATGAGCATTTAAAACAAATTTATTTAAGACACTTTCATCTTCTTTGTATGATATATGTGGCTTTTTCTGTAACCATTCACTTCTTCTATTTGTTACATCATTCCTATTGTTGTCTATGCCATCAAGATCTCTCTTACTTTCATTCAGAGGATCAACTTGCTTTCTTTTCCTACTCTCATTCGGAAATTTCACTTCTTTACATTCCTTACTCTCATTCAGGATGTTTTCATTTTCCGTACTATCATTCGGGATATTTTCACTTTCCTTACTATCATTCAGGAAGCTTTTATTTTCCTTACTATCATTCGGGAAACTTTCATATTTGATGGCTCTAGAATTAACCATATTGGTCTCATCGAGACGTTAATTAATTAGACGTTATATTTACGTTAAGTTAAGATAAGTTACTTTAACATTAATTTTACAAAAATATAAAGTCAATAAAAGAACAAATAAAACAAAAACAAAATTTAAAACATACAAAATTAAAGAGATCCATCCACCATGCAGCACCAGACACTATTAATTGCGAAAATTAAAAAGTGCTGCATGGTGACCAGATTGCCGAGTCATTAGTTATAATTATAAAGAAAGTCTTAAATGGTCCAGTATATAAACATGCAAAAATAAATAAACATGCAAATATATAACATGAAGCCATTAATAAATAAAATAAATTAACAATGAAAACATATTTTTGGGCAATAACATGGACCATTTAAAAGACAATCTTTAGATCCCTCCTCCATAAGATCTACCAGCCACGACACGGGAGCAGCCGCCACCCGGAGTCTCATTACTAAAAAGCAACATTGTTGCTCCGGAGACGGCCACAAGGAGCCACAGCTAGCAGAGGGGAACTGGTCAAAAACATATACATATAAAAAATAGTCATACAAACACAAATCGCACAGCGATTGGAAAGAGACAAAACAAAAACACAATAAAACAAGAAAGGAAAGCTAACTTCGGGCGGAGCCGAAGTTTATATACCCTTGCAGTTAAAACCGGATAAATATCGCAAACATCGGATATAGTTGGCCGATCCTAATGAAATTTGGTAGGTTAGATGAACTGACCAAACCAAAACTAGAATCTGTACCAAGTTCCAGCTTTCTATCTTCAAAAACAAAAGTTGGGTCAATTCCGATCCTTCAGTTATATGGCAGCTATAGGATATAGTCGGCCGATCCTTATGAAATTTGGTAGGTTGGATCAACTGACCAAAAATGGAATCTGTATTAAATTCCAGCTCTCTATTTTTAAAAACGTCAAAGTTATACCATTTCCGATCAATCAGTTATATGGCAGATGTCTCCTTCACTGCGTTGCACACTTTTGGACAAAATTATAATACCCTCTGCAAGGGTATAATGAACAGAAGTACAAACCATTATTAAATCTAATCTGTTAAAATTAAAGCTAAAATTGATAAAAAAAATTTAAAAAGGGATGGAGGAGAGCTGTCGCAAAACTAACCAATTAAAATTTAAAATTTAAAAATTTAAAATGACTAGATTTAAAATTTAAAAAGCGCGACAGGATAGCTGGTCATTAGCTTCATTGATATCATCAGGTGGTGGGGAGGGGGGTGATCCTCGGCGTCCAGAACAGGGCTGGGTCGTCCAAAAAGGCCCACGGCAGGTAGGCAGGTCCAGGGAGAATCCCGTTCAGCATCCCCGGCAGCCATCAAGGCCTCCCCAAAGGACTTCGCAGGGGGGCCCAAATGGGCGAATTCATGGCGGACGAAAAACTCCAGATAGGCAGGTCCAGGGAAATTTCAGTAGCATCCCCGGCAGCCATCAAGGCCCCCCAAAAGGGACTTCGCAGGGGGGACCCAAATGGGCAGATTAATGGCGGGCGAAAAACTCCAGGTAGGCAGGTCCAGGGGAAATCTTGTTCAGCATCTCAAAAAAAAATATCTCGGGGAATTCGTATGTCTGACTTCGGCAACGGTTGAGAATGGAAAATACAGACTCTCTTTTCTGTGGCAGGCTCGTCGTTTGGCTAGAAACATCAGTGGCTGATTTAAGAGCTGCGCGTGGCTGGGTCATCCTCAGTTGGGTCGTCAATGGATGGCTCATAAGGACACGGTACTTGGGGCCGCGCGTGGCTGTTTTATCCTCGGATAGATCCATTTCTTACTGGATCATCCATGGCAGGAGGAATAGGGCGCAGGCATTAGTGCTGCGCGTGGCTGGGTCATTCTCAGTTGGGCCGTCAATAGCTGTCTCGACGGGGGACGGTTATGAGAGCCGCGCGTGGATGGGTCATCCTTAGCAAGGGCTAGATGCCCGCGTATGGCTGGGTCCTCCGCAGTAAAGGGCTTGGAGCAAGATTAAGCTGGGCCATCCTTGGTTGTGTCATCAATGACTGGTTCAGTAGGGCGCAGTTATTTGAGCCGCGCATGGCTGGGTCATCCTCAGTTGGGCTGTTTTTCATTTTTTTTTTTTTTTTTTTTTTTTAATTTTGATTTTTAATTTAATTGATTGTTTTATTGGCTTTTGATTTTGTCTTTAATCGTTTGTTCTATTGGCTTTTGAGTTTTGCAATTGGTTTTACAATTTTAGTTTCACAATTTAGTTGGCTTTTAACTTTTCACAAAAACAGTTTACATGGATTTGGTTCTGGTTTTGATTTACATGGGTTTTACTTTTGGTTTTACTTTGGTTTACATGGATTTGGTTCAGTTCTATTTAATTAGATTTTTAGATTTTTACTAGGTTTTGGGACGACCGCCGCCAACGGTCACAATTGCAGAGTGAGTGGTGAGCATCCGGAGTATTACCCCAGAGGGCAACTTTTGTTCCGGATACTCACCACTTTACATGGCGGGAAAAAGCGACATCGATAAACATGGCGGGAAAAAAGAGTTCTTTGGGACGGCAGGGCATCGATAACAGGGTTGCAGCAAAAACATCAGAAGTCTTATACAGTGACAAGGGCTGCAGCGTCACATCGGCGGGAATTATGTTGAAGCGCAGCAAGACATCGGCGGTGGTAAAACGGAGCTGGAGCAGGACGACGGGGGCATTTTGGATAATTGCCGGGCAATTCATGCCAATCCTTGGCATATGGCAAATCCGATGGCATCATCCATGGCAACTGGTAACATCGTGACGTGAATGGGTGGCAACGCTCTCA